TCAGCAGGCCTGGAGGATCCCTGGGTAGCTCAGGGCTGACTGGCACCAGGGCCATGAGCAGCTGGGGACCTGCAGGACTCGGGGGACAGCACCGTGTCCCTCTCAGTGGATTCCTTAGAGCTTAGAGTGGTGGTTACAACCACCCCAGCCATCCAAGCATAGTCTGCATATGCTTGTAAGTTGGATGTGACTCTGAATTAAGCCCAATTAAAATATGGGAGGAGGGGGGAGAGGGAGAAAGGGGGTGGTTTTCCTGGACAAAAGTGTGCCCTTATAGGAGTTTCCTGTTGGAAACACACAAATGCTGCAGGAGGGGGCTGTAGGGGCTCGGTCTGAAGGTGGAGTTGATATGAGAGGGTTACTTTTCCTCTTGGTCATAGCTGTTCAGAGCTTCTTTTTTCTTTTTAGTTTAAACTTATATCCCAGGCATATGAAGTTCTGTCGGACCCAAAGAAAAGGGACCTCTATGACCAGGGTGGGGAGCAGGCTATTAAAGAAGGAGGCCTGAGTGGCGGCAGCTTCTCTTCACCCATGGACATCTTTGACATGTTCTTTGGTGGTGGAGGCCGAATGAATAGAGAGAGAAGAGGTACTCAGTTCTAAACAAGTTCTAGAAACTCTAACCATGCACTTCAGCATAAAACACCGTGCTATGGTACTGCTGTTCTGCTAAGTGCACATAGTGTGGATATTGTTGCAACAATAGAATAAGTAAACTATGATTTTTCTAGTTACTCTAGCATTAAGATTCTAATACAGTAGATAACGTAACTTAGCCATAGCAATCTTTTTCTGCTAAGTTCTATTTGTTTTTTTTTTATTAAAGGGGGTGTGGGTAGTCTGTAGGGGAGGGGGAAATATTAGTAGGTCAGCAGTTGAATTAAACCTATTTTAAGTTACCTTTTTCCAGATCTGTGCCTCACTTGCTCATATGCTTTGGGCAACCTGCTTCAAAGGACACCATCAACTTAAAACTTCAGTAACATTAAATCTCATGAAAATATTTGGGAGAAATTCTGTGAAACTGAGCACAGAGTGCTACCAAAAGCACAGTATGATTTTTGTCTTTTCCATGCCCAATGCCTGCTGAAGGAGCAAGTAGTGACTTGCTGTAAAATCATTGAAATTATGCTATGAAGTGGCATGGAAATTCATAGGTAGGCATAACAGCAACTTCTAAATTCAAAGATCTGAAGCTGGTAGTGTCCTTGCATCTTGCTGTTTCAGTTAAGCTTATAAAATTAGGAGTAGGGGCAGGGATAGGGTGGCTTTAATGATGCTTTGCTTAATTACAGCTCAACTTTTATGTTTGGATATAAATGGGTGCAGCTTAGTGGAAGCTGATGGAACTGCACATGCTTTTAAGGGGGCTGAGCTGTGTTCAGAGTTTGGAATGAAGTTTGCATTTCTTCAGTGAGACTGTGCATGAACATTTGTCTTCCCAACAGCTGAACAAGTATTAACCTTTCCCTTCTGTTTTTTTAAAGGCAAAAATGTTGTGCACCAGTTAGGTGTCTCTCTTGAAGACTTATATAATGGTATTACAAGGAAACTGGCACTGCAAAAGAATGTTATTTGTGCAAAGTGTGAAGGTAAAAAAAAAAAGCAAGTAATGGTTTCAAACCCCTCTTACTTCAGGGGATTTTTCTGTGTGTGGGGGGATTGTCTGGGGCTGAGAATAAAGTGTGGAGGTTTTCTTACTTTCCCCTCTCCTTTTTCTTCTCCCCTCTCCTCCCTGAGAGTCTGCCAGGTTATTTAGAACAAGCCTCTCAAACCCAGTGATATAAAGTGATTGTTCTGATGGCAGACTAAAACTCGATGAGTTGTAGTTAGAGGGACCTCAAATTAAAAGGATCTTCATCCAGAACTTGAATGGAAATGTCTGCTCTGTAAAACCTTTTTCAATTGCTGTGGGTAGGAGTCCAGCTTGTGTTATGCAACTCACTTTACAGTTACTAAGTATCCAAAATGACTGGTCTCCTTTGAGGTAAATCTTAATAAGGTCTTGTATCTTAGTACTCAGTTCAATATTTGGCAAGCAGATTCTTTTCCAGTTATTACTGGAATGTCTGGGTCTTGAATTTAGTATGCTGGTAGTTCCTTGGAAACCAGGATTTCCTGGGAGGTGGGGTGGAGCTAATACAATAAGCTGTACAAGCATCTTGCTTGAAGCTTCCAGCTTGTAGGGCATGTTTTTGGTGATGGCAACTAAACTTCATTACTGAACTGCTCTTAAGTTACCCTAAAGGTGCTCTTGCAGTCAGTGAGTTCCAGCCTGACTGCTGCAGAGTAACTGTTCCTGAGACTGAGATCAGTCTAACTCTTTTGTCCAAGGTTATGGTGGAAAGAGAGGGGCAGTAGAAAAATGTCCTGTGTGCAAAGGAAGAGGAATGCAAGTCATAGTCCAGCAGATCGGACCTGGCATGGTACAGCAAATCCAAACTGTGTGTCCAGAATGCAAAGGCCAAGGGGAAAGAATAAATCCCAAGGACAGGTGTGACAACTGCAATGGCTGTAAGGTGGTGAGAGAGAAAAAGATCATAGAAGTCCATGTTGATAAAGGTAAGGACTGTGTGTTTGTGCCGTGTCCCTGATCTCAGCCTGCACTTAGTTCTGCTGAGAATAAAGGGGTTTCTCTTCCCCAGGTATGAAAGATGGTCAGAAGATAGTGTTTCATGGAGAAGGTGACCAGGAACCTGATTTGGAGCCTGGAGATGTTATAATTGTGCTGGATCAAAAGGATCACAGTGTCTTTCAGAGACGAGGGCATGACTTAATCACAAAAATGAGAATTCAACTCTCAGAGGCTTTATGTGGTTTCAAAAAGACCATTGAAACTCTGGATAACAGAGTCCTTGTCATAACATCTAGGCCAGGTAGGTGTTACAGTTCTAATTCTGTATATAAGCTGTATCAACTGCTTGACTGTCTCATTGTGTCTGGACTGGAGTTTTTTGGGGAGATTGTTTGGTTTGGTTTGGGTTGTTTTTTTCTAACCAGGTGATGCGACAGATTCAAACTACACTGGGCAGTAATTTCATTTAGATGGTTCTTTGTCATTCTTGTCACTCCTTCTACAACATGCAGAGTTACAGCTAAAGCTGTCAAATGCTGCTTAACAAACCTCAGCCTCAGCTGGTGAATAGCCAGGAAAATATTAGAGGCGAGAATCTTCAATTATCTGTTCATTCAGACTGAAGGCTGTGCCAAGAAAAGCTGATTGCTCTTCGAGAAAACTGCCCAAATGTTTAGTGCTTCTCAGTCTGCATTCTTTCTGTGAACTGCTTGGACTGTCCCCGAGGGGCTGTGACAACACTGCCTGTGCACAGCCCTGCTCTGGGTGGCTGGGAAGGGGCTGTCACATCACACGAGCTCACTCCCAACTCCTGCCTCCCTGCAGGTGAGGTGATCAAACACGGTGACCTGAAGTGTATCTACAACGAAGGGATGCCCGTCTACAAATCTCCAATGGACAAAGGCAGCCTCATTATCCAGTTCTTGGTAAGTTAAATACTCCTCTGTAGCCACGACGCTCGTGTTTGCACCAGGGGTGGGAACTTCATTAAAAATGTCTACAATTGTAGGTCCAGTTTCCAGAGCACTACTGGCTCCCTCGGGAGAAGCTGTCTCTGCTGGAAGCTCTGCTTCCCTCCCGAGAAGATGTGATGGTCACAGACGACATGGATCAGGTGGACCTTGAGGATTTTGATCCCAACGAGCAAACCTACCGGAACAGCGCGGGAGAGGCGTACGAGGAGGATGAGGAGGGTCCAAGAACGGGAGTGCAATGTCAGACATCTTAAAGCAAGGTGGAGGGGATGTCATCTACCATGTAAATTTTCACAATGAAAACTGCATGGCTGTAAGAGCCACTGCTTGTGGTTTTTGTGTTCAGCAAATTGAGTTGCTGCGCTGTCGGTATCACCTTTTTGTAACTAATTTATATTGTGTTCTTGTAGTCTTTCTATATAAAGCCAATGTCACACAGCTGAGAGCCAGCTGAGTTGGTAAACATTTTCCTTGCTGTGAAGGTTCTCAATTTATTTCACCTCTGCTATTTCTAAGACTTGGGCAATATGGATAGAGGCTAAGTGGAGTGTCTTATGTAAATACTTTCATACTGGAAAATTAATTTCATAGAATAAAACATAGCAGAATAACTTCTAATAAATAGTACTTCACATTTTCTCTTGCTTCTCTTGTACTTTCTGAGCCACTCTCGAGCCCCCTTTACTTAAGGAAGTTTTTCTAAGCTCTGACTCCTCTCCCCTAGTGTAGCTCATTGTCCAGGGTAGCTGCACCACGAGTACCTGTCTCACTCTGTATTTCAGGAGCATTCTGTGCATGCCCCCTCCCTACCTCCTCCCCTTCTGCCCTGTCTTCCCCTGGGTTTACAGTAGCCTTCCTTCAGCTGCTTCTCTCTTAAGTGTGACTCAAGGTTACAAGCTGTCCTCTGCTGTGTTACATACAGGCAAATACTTCCAATAAAATTTTGACCTTTCAGAAGCTCCAGCTTTGTATTTCAGCCTTCCCTAGAAAGGTTTTGACTTCCTCCTAGGCATTGTGTACTTGTGCCTTAACTAAGATGAATAAGCCAAAACCCCAGGCTGTGGGTACAGTGCTGCTGTTTTATAACATGACCAGGTCCCACAGTGCCATGGTCACATTAAAGCTTTTTATACCTGTTTTCTAGCAGTGTTTGTATTAAGTGAGGGTTGGAAACAACTGGCACCTTTTGGGGCAGTTAAACCAGGGTGAGTGAGCTCAGTGTACCCCACGATTGCTGAGTCCCTGGGACAGCATCAGGATGAGCCCAGGCTGTCATTCCCCACTCCTCCAGCCCAGCTCAGCCCATTTATTCTGCTAAAATAAGACTTGGCCAATGCTCTCCAGCTCCAGTCTATTTATGTAGAAAGGCAGGGGAGATTAACTGAGCAGTTACTTCACCCATGACTGTGTACTTCCAAAAATACATTTTTCCAAGGATTAGACACGAGGACTTGCAGCCATAGCTTTTATTTTAAAAAAGTAAGGCTTTTCTCTCATGCTAAACAAAATCAAAATTGGATATAAATGTATCTGGGTTTGCAGGTCAGTCTGAAATGGTTTTATCATACTAAAAAATTACATAGGACAGGAGCTGTCCTATGTAATGAAACTGCCCCAGGAGTTCACCAGAGGGTCTGAGTCAAGACATCTAAACTGGACAGTCATAAATATGGATTTCTTGGTCATCTCCAACAGATACAATTTTGGACCCACTTCCGTTGTATTTCACTCCCCAGACCTGCAAATAAGATACACAAGGTTATCAACAGAGGACAAAGAATGTCTTTGTGGCAGTTTTATTTATTACAACAAGCAGAAGAGGGAGGATTATTCAAAATTCCTTAACAGAGCTGGTGGTGCAATTCTGGTTTCTGCTTTCCCAGCAGGAGAGGCTGGTGGAGCACAGAGGGACACTGCCATCTAGGAGCATGACAAGCTCCTACAGCCCATGACCATGGATCACACAATCTAAAGATACTTGAAAAAGGCTGGAAAGCTGCCTAAATCAACCCCAGCATTTTCACTCTTGCCCACGCTGTGGCCCTTTCTGAAAATAGTATTTTATAGTGCAGGAAAGAGAGGAAGTGTTCTTCGTGCAGACTGACCATCCTGAGGGGCTGAAGAATAATCTGGTTTATCCTTGGGCTATTTGAGAGAGACATTTCCTTAGCAGTGCAAAACTTAGCAGAATTCAGGTCAGTCCTCTGATTCCAGACAGTTACACAAACTCTGAAGGGACATGAGGGAGATGAAGGGACCCAGCACATCCACGTGGGATTGCACAGTGGGGGTATTTGGGGCAATTTTGTGCACTCTCTTGCATTAAAACCAAAACCCAGCCTTCCCACCAACTCTGCCTGCCCCAAACTTCCTGAGATTACAGATACCAGCTAAAACAACAGGGGAAATCAAATTCCACCGGGTACTTTCATATTAAAACTTCCCACAGCTGTAGGTAACTGAAAAGAAGGTCATCAGCAAAAAACTACTGTGGAAGAAAGAGCTCAAATAAAATCTGGAATAATTCCCTTTGTTAAGTCTTGCTCAGTGATCCATTAAAATACAGCATTTTTCTATTTTATCACCTAACATTTGGACAAAGAGTAAATGGTAGAAACCTAACTTCTCCCCTCTCAGGTTTATTAATAATAATATTAATTAATATTAACAATTATTATTTATTAATAAACAAACACTTATTAATTGAGCAATAAATTTTAAAAACCCCATGGTGTTACAGACATTTGGAAGGGGAAGAAGTCCCAAGTTTCAAGGCTGCTTTCAAGCACTGCTTAGATAATTCCATCCTTTTAAATAAGCATTTCCCCCCTTACACAGGCCCATGGTGTACAAGTGGCAGAAACAAGTAAGACTACAGCCAAAGGTAACAAACACAGCCTGGAAAGACTCTTGGCCACTCAGAATTGCCCTTATTTGAGCCTGAAAAATGTTAATTACTTGGAAGAGATCAACCTACACACTTGCAGTATTAGGTCGATATTAAGGGACAAATAATCACAAACACTTCTTAAGTTCCTGCATGACTGCAGCCCAAAGCTGCAGCCCCAGGGGGAAGCACAAATGTGCACAACTCTTAACAACTCAAGTCCTCCTGGGAACAGTGACCCAGGGAGTCACAGTCATACCTGGTCCTGGTGGTCAAAGAAGGTGTGAACGCAGGTCCTCGTCCCAGCATCCCAAACTTTTACACTTTTATCAGATGAACTGAAAGAAAAATAATGCTGATCAATATTTAAAGTAATAAATTAACTACAGTTTAATGCAAACACTAAAAGGTCTCCGTGGTAGACACAAGGAACCCTCTTTCACCCCTCTAACACAGGGATGAAGTAGCAAAGGAGAGCGTCTTCTGCCAGGTCCCAGTCACCTTTAAATTACATTTACTGTTCCAATATCTGCAGTGTGAAAATGAAGACTCCCATTTTGGCCAAAATATTCTTTCAGGCAAGTTCTTGGGATAAGGAAACTTCTGTTCCCTCCACTTGGCCCCCCAGCTGCCTGAGCTGCTTTAAGAATTAACATTACAGTTCAGGTAGATTAATGTACTACCACCTTTGGCTGCACTTTTTAATTCAACAGCAATTTTTCAGCTATTAAGAATTAAACTGCCTTTCCCAGGTGTCTTTCACTTGTAGGGAACTGCACTTATGAGATGACTTATACTATAAAATACTATTCACTACAACTGGTATTGGCTCCTGAGTCTTTTACTGTGTTTTATTCCATTATAGATCCCACTGCAATTTGTACACATTTACTTTTTATGATCCATCTCCCTTTATAAACATAAAACCGTATTTTTTTTTTTCAGTGAGCATAAACAAGTTAAAAGTCCTCAATACCTGGAAACAAAATGGGTGTCATCAGGACAAAATGCTACATTTAAAACCCAGGATCCATGACCACTTAAGGTGCCAGCCAAGTTTGCATGTTGCCTGTGGAAAGAACAGATTTGAACATTTGGTTTGTGGATTCCAGGGGAAAAAGCTACAGGAATATACTCGAGCTAGAGCAGTCAGGAATGGTTCAACAGAAGGTGACCTCTGGACACTTGTTCAGCCAAGCTGAACTGGTGTTACCACACATCCTGCTTTTCAAACAACATACAAATCAGTCACTAAGAAGATACATCAGAGGACAAAATAGTTTCACCATGAAGAGGTCAAAGCAATGAAGGTTTAGGGGAGTGAAGATCACTGAAGCAGAGCCTTTTCCTCCCCAGGGTCTTCAAAGGTTTTGCACAGAAATAGGTCACAAATGTAATTTCTTGGGGACAGAGCAGATGTGTAAGGAGGGTGAACACAAACTCACAGGACAGATACACAAAACAACCAGCCTGGTCCCTACAGGGCAGATATGAGGAAAGTAATTTGTTTCCAAGTTATGGCTGTCACCTACCCATGCATTTTAAAAACCAGCTGAGGATGTAGCGTGTTATGATTTAAGGTTCTTTGTCACATAAAGAAGTCACCAAAAGCTGAAGGGAATTACAGAGAGTAGAGGGTCTGATGTGTTTTTTGCAGTCTCAGCCTCTGTCAAAGCTGCTCTCCTGTGAGCACAGCTGGCAGAGCCCAACTTACACGTCGTAGATTTTGATATATCCATCGTCTGAGGCCGTGACCAGCAACTGAGAGTCGGGGGAGAACGTCAGGGAACGAATGGGCATGGCATGACCTGCAATTCAGAGAGACACGGGGCTCACAGTGCAGCCACTGCTTACTCAGGACAGCTACACCACCACAGCAGCCCCTGTTCAACCTCTGCAGCCTCTGCAGGCCTCTCCCCACAACACAAAATGGAAAGGGACAGTCATTCTCAACTTTGAAGGCATCTCCAACACAAGAGCATCTCATTTTTTTTTCAGCTGTGGGTCCTTATTAGAAATTATGTCATATTTTCTAGGATGATTTCATATTGAAGTGGTTGGGTTTTTGAGGAACTAAACTGGGCAGAAACCACATGAACGTTAAAAGCCCATTTATCTGTTAGAAAATGCACGTCTTCTACCACATAAAGTGTTCAGTTCTTTTTTAGAACAGCAAGAAATTGCTACAGAACTGATACCACAAGGAAAATCATATGCCTGGCAGCACACATTTGGCTTAGCTTGTTTCCCTCTGCAATGCAAGGAACTACAATTTAAGAATTTAGTGAGGCATCACTGGCTGTGTCTTTTGAAAGGGTTTTATGATGCAAGCCCGAGTTTACAGTTTGCCTCTAACATTTTAAGTGGTTGAAGGTAGAGCACATTAAGTAACTAAATACTGTCTAATGGACAAAAACATCAACTCATTTATGCCACGGCTGTTGTAGCTCATTCTGACTTGCACTGTATCCTTTAATTCTGTTGAGGAACGAGGCCAGAACTCGGGGATTGCCAATCCCAAACCATTACCTTCGAGCGTGTGCAGGAGTTTTCCAGTTGCAATGTCAAAAATATTGATGATTCCATCTATTGCTCCACTGGCCAAGTATTTTCCATCTGGGCTCTGTAATACAAACACAAGAAGTGTGACTCAGCATCTGTGTGCATTTGTGCTGGGTAACTCCTGACATTCCCTTGGCAGCTTTTCACAAATAACGATCTGCTCAAGATCCCTGGGCTCCAGAAATCCTTGTGATGACTTATTCAGAAGAGGTGTATGAGCAAGATCAAAGTGTATTTCCCATATATGCAGGGGGGGGGAAATGTCACACAATTTGTGCTTGGAACTACCACAGTATGGCTGTCATTTAGTGTTACGTAGAGATAAACTGACAGATGGAAACAAAAATATCTATTTACAGAGATACCTATTTACAACAGATCACTGTGACAGCAATTTCACATGAGAAATTATCAGTTGTGCTTCTTACATAGGCAATGCTAAGGATGAACTTCCCTCTGGTGTCCAGGGAATATTCTTTCTTTCCAGTTTCAACACCAAAAATATTTACTTTCCCCACATGACTTCCTGTGGCCAGGTACTGGGAGTCAGGTGAAAAAGCCAGGGACCAAGCATCAACTGTGTCAAAAAGAAAAAATGAGTTAGCTGGATCCCTGGCTCCTGTTTCTAGTTCTTATTCAACACTGTCAGCTCTGTGTGCATCTGTTTAGATATTTAACCCTCTACCTACTCTTAATACACTCAACTCTACTCATACAAGTTACCCCTTCTGTGTAATTAATGGAGCACAGCTCGAGCCATTTATTTATGTTTAGTGAAAGATTACATTTTATAGTAAGACCCTGATCTTATTAGACCCTCCTGGAACAATAAATTGAGAACTTAAGACTGCCTCAGTTAAGTCTAAATTCCTACTTTTCCCCTAGTACAAAAAAAATTATAAAACTAGTGAAAGAAAGCAACATTGGTTATCCAGCAAAGCACAGAAGGTGCAGGAGAAATGCAGATACACAAACATAACACAGAGCAACATTCCTGCAACTGAAGGTAAAAACCCAGCATTTTTTATAGCAGTGCAATGTATTTATCTGGCACAATGTAATTCACAGGTGTTTTTCTATAAGTTTAATATTAATTACCTAAAACACTGCAAGGTTGCTCTTGAGTTGCTATTAGGTCTATTACATAATAGACTAATTCAAGAACAATTAGTGATTGCCAGTGGACCAATGAAATACTTGGAATAAGACCTGAGGCCCTGAATTCCAGCCTGGAGGACATTACCATTGTTAACATTGATAAATGCTCTGAGTTGCTCACTCAGGGCTGGATGTGCTGCATAAACAAGCACCACACACAGAGCTCAACTTCAGTGCAGAAGTTTCTCTGTAAATTAATCTGAATAAGCCACTTGAGTTATTTCTTTGATCGAGGATATTTTTATCAATGCACCTGTAAGTGCAAGCTGCTTTCCCTCCTGCTTTGGTGCACACAGCAAAAAGCCTTTCCCCCCGTGCCTGAGAAAGCACAGAAACGACTGTACGATTCCTGGCACCGCTCCGTGCTGAGCTCACCGAGCCACGGCCAGTTCTGCAGGTTAAAACAGCCCCAGCGGTGCCCTCACACAGCCAGCCCTGCCCTGGGCAGCCCTGGCAGCAGGAGCAGCTGAGCCCTGGCACTCACCGGGCCCGGCGTCGATGGATTTGACCTGCTTGCCCGTGTCCAGGTCCCAGAGGCGGATGTGGGCGTCCAGGGAGCTGGAGGCGGCGATGGCGCCCGTGTGGCTGATGTCCACTGACACCACCCCCAGCTGGTGCCCCTCCAGCGTCCACTGCAGGTCCAGCTTCTCGTCGTTCCTGGGGGGCAAGGGGAAGGGGAGCCCTGTTATGAACAGCTGGGGGGGCTGGATGATCCCCAAAGCAAACACACCACCCACGTTCCTCCAGTTTAACTCAAGGGGGACCCAAGGCCACCCATGGAAGAATTTCTTTCCAGAGAGGGTAATCAGACACTGGAATGGGCTGCCCAGGGAAGTGGTGGATTCTCCGTCCCTGGAGGTTTTTAAGATAAAACTGGATGTGGCATCAGTGCCATGGGCTGGGAACTGCAGTGGGGTTGGATCAAGGGTTGGACTTGATGATCTCGGAGGTCCCTTCCAACCCAGCTGATTGTATGATTCTGTGATTCTATGGAATGGGAAGAGAGTGATGCACAAACTCCCTGTACTCAAAGAACTCACCAATCAATCACTGACCACATTCCTGCAGAGCAGGCACTTCACCCTCAGTTTGGGAACCACCCAAAAATGTCCATCCCACAGCAGGCTGTGGGTGCCCACAGAGCCAAAGCTCCTCTGTCAGCACAGCAGGACATGGTTATAACCATAGCCAAGCTCCCCATGTCCCTGAAGTGGAGCTCACACTTCACACTGCTTGGCCCGAGAGACAGAACAACTTCTTTGCAAAAGCACCTCCATGAGGGTTATCAGGGTTTATTTACCTTTTACTAAAAAAGCAAGCTGTCATTTCCTCTTTCACTCACTTCCCATTATTCCTTTCACAGGACACATCTCCAAGCTGTCTCATCAGAGGCTGCATTTCTCATTCCTTGGTTTAGAAACAAATCAGGTGTTGTCTGGCAGACAACATGCAAAGTCTGATGTGCATTTCCAAAGGGGTTCCCATTCTGTGGCAATCAGAGCCCACCAGAATGCCCCCCTCCAAGAGAAAGCCCCCCCCCACCAGTGAAGTTCTCCTGCCCAAGGGAACAGCTCTGTGTGCTAGGCCACCCCTTCCCTGGCATGACTTCTCAATCCCTGTGCACTGTGGAAGTCCAAAACTGCTGCATCTCCACACTGACTACTTCCAAGGCCTAAAACTGGTTAAAACACGGAGCACTCACCACTTCCAGACCTTCACCAGGTCATCCAGAGAACCAGAGATCACCGTTTCAGAACCATCATTTTTATTTTTCCCCCAGGCCACCGACCAAATGGCATCATCGTGGGCTGAGAGGGGAGACAAGCACAGAAATGAAAAACTCAGTGGTTTCTGCTGACAGGAGACAACAAGTGGCGCTGGTGAGCGCTGCCAGTGGCCCTCCTCTCCCAGAGCCCACTTTTCGTTGTTGTGTGACCCAAGGCACGGCTGAACAAACAGCACGGCAACTCAGATCTATCCATTATATAGCCATGACCAGCTCTCCTCACACCTACGCCTGCCATTACCAACTTTAATCGCCCCAGAACACCAACAGTGCCCAACCCGCCAGCGTTCGCTCACCTTGCTCTTGCTTGAAGAGAATACCGTACTAGAAAGAAAAAAATAACTAATATTACACATGAGCAGCCTACAAACGGCCAAGCCAGAGGTCAGAGGAGCTGAGGCGGTGTGTTTATTTACCTGCGTGGTCATTTCTGTGGGAGCGATCCCGGCGGGAGCGGCCTGGGAGCAGCCGCGCACAGCGCCTGCCGCCGTCGCGCCGTGATGACGTCACTACCACCGAGAGCGCGGCGAGAGTGCCTCTGCCTAGCGCCGCGCCGCTCTCTAGCGCCGCCTTGTGGCCGGGAGGCTCCCCCGCCCCATGCGGCCACAGCCCGGCTAGAGCGGCCCCGCGTCCCACAGAGCCCTCAGGGACAGCGGGGCTGAGCCCCTCCATCCGTCAGAGCCGTCACGGACAGCGAGGCTGAGCCCCCCGATTCCTCAGTGCCTCAGAGACAGCCGGGCTCATCCCCCCGATCCCTCAGGGACAGCGAGGCTGGGCTCTGCGATCCCTCAGAGCCCTCACGGACAGCGGGGCTGAGACCCCCGATCCCGATCCCTCAGGGACAGCGAGGCTGAGCCCCCCGATCCCTCAGCGCCTCAGGGGCAGCGGGGCTGAGACCCCCCCATCCCGATCCCTCAGGGACAGCGGGGCTGAGACCCCCCCATCCCGATCCCTCAGGGGCAGCGGGGCTGACCCCCCCGATCCCAGGTCCCTCAGTTGTGTCCCCCAGTTCGCAGCTGCAGTGCCATGGCAGCCCCCCCGTCCCCTCCCGCTCTCCCAGTGACCCCCCGGGCGCGGGGCCGGGGCTGTCCAGGAGCCCTGAGCGCCTCTGGGCTGCGGTACCACCGTCGTGCTGGAGGCACAGGGGGATGAGGGCTGCCCTCCGTGTGAGGAGCTCAAGAGCGCGTATCCTGAGGCTGCAGCAGGCCCGGGGCAGGCGCCGACCGACCCCGCGCTCCGGGCACTCTGTGACACCGCCGCCATCCTGCCCCTGGCTCTGATCACAGCACAGAGGGTTTAACTTCCCACAGTCACAGCACCACTGAGGTTGGAAAAGCCCTCCATCAAGTCCAGCCTGTGACTGATCACCACCTTGCCAACTAAACCAGAGCGCTGAGTGCCACGTCCTGTCGTTCCTTGGGCACCTCCAGGGCTGGGGACTCCAAACCTCCCTGGGCAGCTCCTGCCAAGGCCTGACCACCCTTTCCAGCAAGAAATTCCTCCTGATGTCCAACCTGAGCCTCCCCTGGCACAGCCTGAGGCCGTTCCCTCTCCTCCTGTCCCTTGTTCCCTGGGAGCAGAGCCCGACCCCCCCCCGGCTCCCCCCTCCTGTCAGGGAGTTGCAGAGCCAGAAGGTCCCCCCCGAGCCTCCTTTTCTCCAGCTGAGCCCCCCCAGCTCCCTCAGCTGCTCCTGCTGCTCCAGAGAGGAAGTTTCCCAACTAATCATCTACTTCAGACTACAAAAAAAAAAAGGTATGACTTTTTTGGAAGCTGAGTTTTTTCAATTTGCTGCCTCTCCTTGAGTTAGAACTGGAAAAAATGTCTGACTTAAAGTTCAGGAGAATAAATCAGATTCCCCGAGGCTTAAAATTAAAGACAAAAAGCTGGTCTTTCACAGCTTTTAATCTGTTTTTATGTGTACACAAAGCTCTTTGAGATCAATGGAACTTGTCTGAGTAAGCAGAGTAACAACTGAACCAGGAATTCTGAATGTATCTTAGCACAGCTCTGCAGTCAAGAATGAAAATCTGGGTAAAACTCTTACACATAATTACAGACTTTTACATATAATTACAGAATCCTTAGTTGTCTGATTAGGCTGAGCTTTCAGAAGACTTTAAGGCGTATTACAATGTATTGAGTTTCAGAAAGCCTCATTTTCTCGTTAGTAATGACGCAATGGTAAACATTTTCCCAAAGTAAAAGAAATTATTTCTGTCTCTACCAGGATTCTTCTAAGAATTCTTCTATTAAAACGTGCACTTAAAATGTAGTTCTTTCACCTTATGTTCAAACAATCAGGATTTGGTTCTGCAGTTCTGTACAGAGTACTGCAGGACTGTAACATAATCTTTGACTGACGAAGTGTTTCTAATCCCTCCAGAGTTTTCACATCATGCAAAGTTCTCCTTTCTCCACGCTGGTATTTACTTTGTACACAGAACACCTCAGACCCTCCTGGGAAAAGGTTGTTATTGTTCTCCTGTGAGTGCAGAGTGAGACTGTGTGTTATTTCCTGCATCACTTATGACACAAATCTGTATTTGTTAGAGTGAAAGCTGATAAGATGCTGCTTTGGTGCATCAAGAGGATAATCTGAAGCAAAGTGTGCCACATGTTTGATTTACAGATAGACTGTCTCCTTGGAATAGTAACTGAGAGCATGTTTCTGTCTGTCTGTCCTTGCTCTGGAGCACCAGCACGTGCTGTGTCAGTGTGGGTATTTCAGCCCTAACCACAGTAATGCTTTAGCAGTGCCTCTGTGCTTAAATGACAGCATTTAAACCATGTTCAGGGAGAAAACACGACATACTAAAAACCATTATGATCACCCTCATGTTGTGCTTACACAGAGAGGTGAATTAGGCTGAGACTTTGGGTGCCACATAAACATGGCAAAAGGCACTCCCCAGCCCGAAGCTCAGTGGCAGAGAACACACTGAAAGCAGAACACTGAGCTTCAAACCCAGCAGGCTGAGAGCCACTGTGTCCTGCTATTGCAATCCCAGTTCAGATCAGCATTCACAGCTCAGCACCTGCCCAGCCTCACACACCACCCCAGTGCCAAGTAAGCCTTGATTTATTAAGGTCTTGAAGACACATGAGCCTCCACACAGCAGCAGAGCTGGATAATTACCTGGGAGCTCCAGCTCTGCAGGTACAGGAACACTGCAGCATTCAAATGTCAGACATGTCAACTTCTCTCCCTGCTCCACACTAAATAATTCATTTGAGGGAAATGGGAATGGTATTTAAGTTATGTGTGGGGTGTGCCAAAGTGGTAATACACAAATAGGTATTTTTGTGGTTATCAGAGTCAGGCCATGGCAGCTTAGAAAGGGAACTGTGTAACACTGTACCTGCTGAGGGCTGGATTTAATTCCAGACCCCTTTCAGGAACAATCCATCAATTTTGGGTTTGATTTTCCATCTTAGGGTTCAGTGTAGGATCAGTCACAGAAACCTGCAGGCACTGCAGAAACAAAGGGTGACTTCTTGCAGAGCACAGACTCTGCATGCAGAGATACATACATATATATATATATATATATGTATTTCATCTGCCCGTTGTGGGGCAGCAGCAGCAAGAGCATCTCCGTCCCCTTTCCAGGAGCAAGGGGTTGGCATTCACAATGACACATTAATCACTCCACATCCTGTGTCTGGGGACTCTGAACAGTTGTGGCAGCAGCTAGGAATCCTTCTGTTACCTGATGTGCCTCTAGGAGATCATTAAGGGGCTGTGTTCCTGGCAGGGAATTGGAATGGCATTTGCACTGTTTGCTCTTTCATTTCAGATCTCTGTGCCCTCCATCAAGGCACTCACAGCACATCCACATGTTTTGTGCAGCCTGTGTCAGCACTGCAGGGCATTAGCACTGGGACAGCTGAGACAAAAGCAAGAGCCACAGAAAATCAGATCCTAATACAGTCTTCAGTTCCACTTTTGAAACTAGTCCAGTTCCTTGCATGCAGATTTGATGAACTTTCAGCTTTTGTTGGTTTTCCTCTGCTCACTTATTTTGTTATATCTTTTTTTTTCGGCTGCTGTCCCCTTTCTTCCCTTTTCTTGCCACTTCATATGCTTTTTCACTCATAGGTTTGTCTTTGATGGTCCCAAGCAGCTGAATTGGGAGTTGGAGTTGAATATAAACCTTCCTGAAATTCACAGAGGTTCAAATTGAAGTTTTGCTTTAAAAAAACCCTCTTGTCTTAGTTCCAACAACATCCACTGTAAAGGCACCACATGTTTCAGGTGATGGCACCACACCCACCAGCCTTGGCACTGCAGGAGTTGGAACTACAGTCACATCTTTAGTCCCAGGGCTGGCCAAAACAGGGAAATGATATAATGGAAAAGCTCTTCTTTGAGAATCTGAAACCAAGTCCAAATATTAATGACATTCTTGCCCTATGAGTTAAGGAAGGATCATTATCCCATTTCACAGAAGGGTGAAATCTGAAGCAAGGTGACGAATTTAGTCAGTGGTAGATCGAGGAATGGAACCCTCTTGGTATGTGCCCTAACTCAGGGGGTACCTTCATACTGACACTGCTTTAAGTTTACACTTAAATACTAAATTGTTTCACTAGCAAGAAAGCAAGGCTTTCCATGTAGTCATTCAGCAAGCAGGGAAAAGTACTTGAGACAGACAAAAATGGAAAGGAAAGTCAAAACTGCCAGAGAATCAACCTAACAGGAATGAAAATAAAACTTAGCACTTGCAGGAATAAATCTTTCCCTGGCCAGAGGTGTCCTGATGGGGCTCTGGTCAGGGGAAAGCTTGGCCTGGAGAGCACTTTCCTTCAAAAGGGATGAGGTTCCTTCAGAATGGAGAGATTGGAGTGAATGAACAGCTGCTTCTAGGAAGAAAAGAAGAAAATAAAACAGTTAATTAAACAAATAAATCCTAACAGCTTGACTCTCCCCTCCGTGGAAGCAACCTCATCCCCACCGTCACCTGCAGAGAAGCTGGAATGGTGAGGTGTGATTACAGGCCTTTTAATCTCCTGCTTATGGCATGTATAGTTCAAAGGGAACCTTTCAGAGCACACTTGGTTTGAAAGGAATAATCAAATAACAAACAAAAAGCAAAAGTCATTGTTCATGATTTTCTTATAATTGGTCTGTGCTTGATGGTAACTGAACCCGAACGTTATTTTTCAGCCTATCTTCTCTTTATCCCTGGGAGAAGACTTCAGTTCTTCCTTCATTTAGTTGTTTGATTTCATCAGAATTATCGTATTTTATTCTTTACTTTGTTCTCTCTCACAGCTTTCCTTTTTTTTTTTTTATGGGGCAAGAGGTGGGTCAGAGGGAGTTTCTGAGACCTTCCCCTGAGCCTGAGATGTTGACTGCCTCCACTGAAGGCCACCACGATAAAAGAAACATCTGGTACTCATTTTTCAGGATTGAAATAAGGCCCTTTTAAAACATCATGTAGTTTGGACTGGCTTATACAAAGCACAAAGTTTCAACCC